TGCATATTTTTTGTTCGCTTCCCTCAGCTGAATTGAGTGGTTCCCTCACTAATTGTACAAGTTCATATATAAATTAGGGTAGAAAGGTTCACATACCAATGAGAATTTCCTCAGAATTTCTATATTGTCATCTACGCATGTAGTTGACCATGTGCATATTTTTCCACACGGCAATGGACTGAAATATACACTGAACAACCACCTTGCAAGATTCCGATCATGTCTCATCATCGCTCTCTCGATCCTCCATAGCAAACACTATGTTTCGAACAATGTAATGTTATTAACATTGTAATGTTATTTCAATGACTGACCACCATTTACGCACCTCAAATGAGTGCAACATGGCGTTAGTAGGGCTGAAGCCACATAGTCGTAGCAAGTTACCAAGCTCTGATAGTAGACAGCCTCTCCCATCCTACAAGGTGAATATTAGCACGCCGTGCTCGTGGGAATATTTTCACATGATTAACCACAGGTTAGAAAATGTAAGGAAATTTTGCGAAATTTTCATTGATTTCCGCACATCTCTACCAAAATTCGTATGTAAATTTCTCAAATTAGTGAGAGAACTCCCAAGCTCAGCTGAGAGGTTGTATCCCAACACATACTTGATTGAAAGTTTGATATTGTTCCATATAGGAATCTGACTTGGCCTTGGGAGCAGTACCAGTTGCCGAACTTTCGTGTGAACGCATAGTTGTGTTGCCATTCATTGATTTACTCATTGGGTAAAATTTATAACAGCTGAACCAACTACGGTACAACAGATTTTCGGCGGGTTGGCAATTGTATCGTCCAGTAGTTGTGTAGTGTGGGATGAGCAAGCAGCAAGGTATGCACATGCTACGTGTGTTGATGGCAATATTAAAATTCTGATGAAATTTTGGTAAGTTCTTTTACTACCCGAATTCGTATATAAACAGCTATAATTAGCAGGAAGCTTTTGGCACCAGTTGAGGACAACAAATATTCCAACACTGCTTTCTAGTTACGTCTTGTAGGAAGCTGTTGTGCTTCTGTCGTATTCAAGCTTTTATTCCAAATGATAATACTCTAATGTGATGAATCAATGTCAACGGAATCTGCGGTGTAGAACAACTCAACGGGTATGTGTGTATGAGTTTAAAGTCCAACGCCGAAAACAGGCTTAGTGAGACTAGCACCGATGTATTTTACTCCGAGAGGGATGAATTCAGGCAAGCTTTTTTATTGAGTGTTATAAATTAATGTCAACGGAACGAATGACTCAACGAGTGATCAGGTTAGTGACAGAAATTACAGCCTCCCGTAGAACGCAATGTGTCTCTCTAGGCTGGAGGGTTCCTCTAGCTATGCTTACGATGAAGGAAGTCTACGTCGGCTAGGTGAACGGAGGGCGAGCTCTGTGCGGGATACCTCACAAACTTTCACCCGAGTGAGAAAGGTATCGTGGGGGTCTAGGGCGAGTGAGGATGGTCTTCGCCACCGGGAAATATCTTCAGGTATGATCAAGCCTTGTAAGGCACTCTTCTGCAATTATATTGACAGTAGTCTTATCTCATTGAGCAAATCACTAACAATAGCGACGCGACTCCTTTACAATGTAAGGATTGCTCGGTGTCGTCACATCGCTTACGTAGTCATTAAACATAACACAACATGCCTACCTAGGATGGCAATGTGAAAAAGTGATATCAATAATTACAGCATAATGTTTTGTCAAGACCCGTTGATGTTATTAATCAGCAAAGACAATTCACTGCATCCACCAGGATAATAACATCTCGGAAAGTTATGAAAAATATGTACTCAGCGCTAGTAAGTACTTTCATCATTGAACTTGTCGAGGCTCATCTCCCTATTGGGACTAGCACTTACAGATACAACGCTCAAAAGGAGTAGGGGCTACGCAGTGGCATCCTTTTTGGCAACCTCCTTTACAATACAGATCTTCCGGGCGGCAGGGGGTATTCGACAGTGCACGAAAGTGCGCAGGGATACCCTCAGCTTGAAGACTGAGGATGAGGTTGAGCAGACAGACCAACATCAGGTAGAATGCAGCCATGATTGAAAAAGTGTTGGGGGCAATGCTGAACGCTAGAGCCAGCTCAGTCACTGCAATACAATCCATAGCTCATCAGCTCAGCCGTGCGGATAGTCGAACGCTAAGACCAGTTCCATCTCTAGTATACAAATACTATACGGTCAGTCTAGGCCTGTTTTGGACAATTGTACTAGAAGGAGCTGTACCGTGTCGTTCAACACTACTATGTGCTGCTGGGTATTATCCCAGCTCACCTAAGCTGTATACTCAGTTTGATGATACCACCAAGCCTTGTTTTGGTCATGCGTGCAGCGGACCGCAGCATGCGGCACGCAAACACATAGCTTCTTCTCCTTTTCATAGAGCGAGGTATAACGCTTCGTATAACCTTACCTAAGTGTCACAGCCACTATCAATGTCATCACCGAGGTCATTGAGTTCACCTGAGTCACTCCAGTCAGAGTATGAGCTGGAGGGAGCTACAGGAGCACAATACACATACGTGAAACGTGAAGACAGATCACACGAGAAGTCAACATAACACTAAGCTGATGTTGCTATTGGACACTCAATCTTGCTGAAGTCGCTGATATAGCTATACACAGTTGGTTCTACTATCTGCATAGAATACACCCTCATCAGCAGCCGATCGTATTTTGCCTTCTACGAGTACGTCGCCTCTCATCTCTGATCTGCAACACTGAGCCAGCCTGCACGCTTGCACAATAACGCCGGGCTCACGCATTGTGCGCCTACTGAGCCCTGTGGTACGACTTTTGTTGGGTGATGAGCCCAATATCGATCATTCTGTCCTTGGCGTGCAGGGTGGTTGACTTGTGAGATGCGAATGAATATAACTTAGGTACTTCTTGTTGCGGAGCGAGCGGAGCTATATACTACCACAGTGTTCGGGCAAATTATTTCTCCACAACCAGAGAGAGTTTTGACACGACTGAAGAACCAATCACGAGCTGAATGGACGGCTATATCTAGAATGAGATACTCCAGCTATGCAATAGCTGAGCACTTCGGTCGATTATTCGCTCAGGGGCATTTGAAGCCCGCCAGTACCTTCCTGGCGGGCTTATGATGCAATATGATTGATTGCTTCGGTTAATTACACTCCTGCATTTACGGATATGATTCATCTTGCTTCATTTCATTGCTAAGATTGAAAACAAACTCGAGTGCTCATTTGAGCATAACACGGGAGAAAATTTTTTCGAATAAGACTAGTGATTTGAATAACATACTCATGTATAAATATACATAAGTATGTATTATTCAAAACAAAGAAGTATACACTATAATCGAGAGAAGGAGGAGTTACGATGAGGTCTTTCCAGTTCTCAGTGCACATCGTATTAGCCATCACGTGGGCGAGCAGTCTGGGGGAAAACGCACATAATAAACTACATGTGTTGGTGACAATATGAAAAGTCCGAGCAATTTCAGGGGAGCTCGTTAGTTTCTGTACACGCCTACCCAAATTAATCTACAGATCCCCATAATTAGTGAGGAAATTCGAGAACTCAGCTGGGAGAAGTGGACATATATTTCAACACTGTGTGCGAGAGTCTCTGATGATGTTTTCGATCTGCCAGCGAGCACTTCGTTCGTCTCCACTCTCTAGTCGACAATAAGAGAGCCCTCTAACCCATATTGGTAGATCTATCCACATAACTCGTATGCTCATCCGGAACGTGAACCGGTTTGCAAAGAGCACAACCAGGAAGCTCCTTAAGAAAGTGTCGCGATGAACTGTCGTATTTCACATCGAGTCAAACTTTGAACTCAACACTGAATGATAACGAAAAGTAGTTCACAAGAGCATGCGATGACATCACAGAGATGTCGCTTCTCCTAGCATTTCTTCGATAGCCGTCAACACCGCGTCCTTCAGCGACTCATTCGCGATCTGACCAGTTCCATCAAACTCTCTGTCGGCTCATTAACTCACT